GGGACTAGGTCGCAGGCGGTCGCTAGCGCGAGGCGAGCGAGCGCGTGCGTGTTGCGTGTCCTGGGTGAGCGCGGAGTCCCGGGCGAGCAAGGATAGCAGGCACGTGTTAGGCGAACGCTGGGATCAGGCGGGCGTCTGCGGCAAGTCTCCTGGGTGCACGAGGAAAGCTGGGCGCGTGGATCGCGGTCGCTGGGATCGGGGAAGATGATCGCGAGCAGGGACTGCGAGATACGAGCAAGACGATCGGCACGGGACTTCACAGCTTGGACCTGGGCGCGATGTTTGGCTGTGTGGGACTGCGGGCAGGGCTCACGGTTGCGCGCGGCTGAGCTCGGGCGAGGTCATGGTCGCGATCGGCGGCGATGGCGGATTTCCGGCGAGGACGACGGCGTTCGGCTGGGGAAGATGGCCGGAAAATATGAAGGTTTGGGGTTTAATATAATATCACCTTAAAGCCTTCTAATGGATTACCCAAACACCTATTTCAATTAATCTTGGTGTTACGACTAATTGAATCTCCCTAACTCTCGAGCAAGACAATTCTCTCTCTCTTGAAGGTGAGAAAATAGGCCCTAGCACATTGTCTCAAGAGGTTGGGACATGGTGTATTTATAGGCTCCATTAGGGACCTTAAGGAGGTGCCAAATATGGACTTATCCCATTAGGCCAAGGAATCCTAATTCCACTCCATAAACTAATCCATATTAGGTCACGATTCCTTTCTCCTAACATCACCTTCTAGAAGACTCTCTAGTCTCCTAACCTTAGGTAATATTCTAGAAGGAATATTCTCTATATCATGGAATAATAAATATGGAATAAAATTAATTCCTAAAATCCTAATAAAATTAAATAATAATATATCCCACTAAAATATTTTTATTGCTCTCCCCATTTGGCTCCAATTTAATCAATTAAATTAAACCTCTACTTGATTAATAAATATTAATCTAATTGACCGATTTACCTCCCCATGTTTAAGATATAACGTCCGTGGATTAATTAAATTACTGACAAGATAATTAATTGACTTCTTATTTATTTCCGAAATTAGTACCACTCAGAACTTTAATCATTGTGTCGGATAAATATCCACCTGTAGGGTTTAACATAATATTCCTTCTTGAGCTCATTTCGGGGACGTCATCAATCCAGCGCACTGGAACACGGTACCATAAATAATCTATAATACCTCGTCATATAAAAATTCTTATTTACCAAAGTATCGAGTATGTCATCTTAATAAAACAGGAATCACCCTTGGTAAATCAAATAAATAAGTAATGAATATACACGACTATTTTATATTATCTTACAGCTTTAGAGAACGCGTCAATCACTGAAGGTATAGATTACAACAAAGATCAGTGAGTCTCATAATCTTATCCTTCCGGTGGTCCTGTTCAATACTTAACATAAGTACTAGTGTAATTCTCCAGTTAAGGTCAACTGAATCAATAATACACTACAGTCTTTTTCCAAGTGGGGTCTCACTGCCAGTCTAGACTGTGAACAAGTGATTTAGTCTTACAAGGAATTGATAGGTGACCTTTCTGTTCGAGACACCACGAACCACACTATCTCAATGTAAGACAAGGAGTATGATTGCATGAATAAATAAACTGCAAACATATATATACTTTGACTAAAACATGATTGCCAGATCAAAATGGTATTATTAATATCTGAAAGCCAAGCTTTTATAGCATCAAAAATCTAGCGACCTCCATGGCCTTTTGCATCGTGTCTGGCCTTTCCAATCGTACCTCGGCGGCTAGATCAAATTTTAACCCGCCGATGAATGCTCCAACCAACACGCTCTCTGACCAGTCACGTACATGACACGCGAGGCATTCAAATTCCTTCTGATAGTCGTGCAAGCTCCCCGTCTGACGTACGCGTGAGAGGGCTGCGTCGTAGTTGTGGTAGTCGGATATCCCGAAGCACGTGAGAAGTTCTCGAAGCTCTTCCATTCGATCGCTTGTTGTCTGCCGCGGTAGACGCTTGCGAGCCACTGTCACCAGACATTGGCCTCCCCATTGAGGTAATATGCCGCGTATCGGACCAAGTCGTGTCTCGCGGTTTCATTAAGTTCAAAATATGGCACGACTCGGTTGAGCCATGCATCGGGGTCAGATCCGGTGAACGTGGATAACGTGAGCCTCGGTTTGTCGAGCCGCGGACGGTTGTGATTATTTGAAGCCTGTGACCGCTGCTCGAACTCCTCCTCCTCGTGTTCGCGCTCGCCGTGGTGTGGGCCGGGCCGCCTGACTCGATCACGATCGTGAGGTTGACGTTGAATGTTGTGAGCCATCTCGTCGAACCTTCGGTTAATGATTTCCATTAGATCTCGCACCGATGCTTTGGTGGTGTCGAGCCCTTCACATAAGTTGTCCACGGCCTCGCTCATGCTTCGCCACCTGCACGTCTAAGTTCTCGAGCTTATCATTCATCTCTTTATTGGCCATGGCTTTCTTCTCCCTCCTTTGCTCTTTGCTATTCAGACTGTTTTTGTTTGAACAAATGAAATTTAAAAGAATAGATGGGAAAAAACGCATGATCAAACTCTCTCAATGAAAGCACTAATGATGAGCGATCGTGCGTCCGACTGCTGGTCGAGCACGCGAGCGCCTCGGTCGCAACGATAGGTTAGGAGGTTCACTCGCGTGTCCCTTCGAAAGACAATTGCAAAAGAAAACATTAAGAATTCTAAGGCAAAGAGTTGAACAAAAGTTCGATTTTTGTATTAATTCTTGAATGATCAAATTAACAAGAGCATACGCCTTTATATAGGCTTCAAAATAAATCTAGTCCTAATCAAACTAAATCACTAATTAAAGCAATAAAATATTAAGAGTCCTAAATAATCTAGAAAGCATAAAGAAATAAGAAAACTAGATATTCTAGAAGATCCTAGAAATATTGTCTTGCGCGCAAAGCAAGAACCCTAGCCGCCTTGGACTCCCCCCTCGTGCGCCTCGCCTAATGCCTCGAGGACTAAGGCATCGCCGCCTTCATGTACTCGCATCTCCTTGTCCTGCGCGTTGCCTATCTTCACGAGGACTCTACAAGCATGGTTGTACTCGCCCGCATGTGTGCACGCGGCTACCCTGTCCGCGCCTTCCGTGCCGGCGAAGATCTCACGCGCGTCGCGTCCCAACTCGCGCGCGCTAGCCTCGATCACATGAGTCTCTCCCGCCTTCCGCGCCAATCTCTTTCTCGCGTGGTAAGCCCGACTCGAGGCATTTTTTAATCTTCGCGCCATATCCTCATCAGCGCGGGACTGCTTGGTTGCGCGTGTGAATTGACTTGGGCTTAGGATACTACTAGTTCTAAGGCTGAAAATGATGCACCAACACTTAGGAAAAATGTATAAATGCTTGGCTATAGTTGTGCAATGGCTTGGCACGGTTTGGGGCCCTCGGGCGCGAGTGGCTCGCGGCACTTGCTAGGGCCGAGTGCTAGGGTTCTAGGGCTAGGCTTGGCACTTTTCAACACTTAGAAAAATTCAAGTGTTGTGCAACCAAGGCTAGGGATTAAATGGTGCGAGACTAGGGCTCGAAGCTAGGGTTCGGTACGAACAAAAATATTTCGAACCTACTAACCGAAATAGCAACTCATATACTTAATATAATTGAGCATTTAAGATCATAAATACATAACTCAGAATTTATGAAAATTACGGATTTCACTTATACTCGAGCAGTGAAACCGTTCTATTTTTATTTTTATTTTTATCGGTAAAAGTAAATATATAGATCAAAATTGTTGTTCGGACAACCGATAATCGGCATACAAAAACGCAGCGGGTAACCACAAGCTCGGTTCCTCACTCACGAATAATAATACTACAAGGGCAGGTCTCTAATCATGACACAGATGTAAAGAAGCAGTAGTGCATCCCATGCCCCCAATGCTAGAGATAAGCCTATCAAAGTCTAAGGCTTTTCCTCTCAAACTCGACAAGTACGTTCGGATATACCACAAATATAGTACGATAAACATGAGTTTTGATCTTACGTACCACAAGGCTCGGATGTTGAGATTCATTCTCGAAAACCAACCTATTCCTCGGGGCGTTACATTAGCTGCACATTTTTGCAATCGATGTTGTTTCATTTTGCAATCTACCATTGTAAACAACTCAATTGAGCTATTTAAATCAACTTTTTTATTAAAAAAAAAAAAAAACAATTCAATTGAGCTAATGACAGCTTTCAATGTCATTTTTATTGGTCATACATACAAGCTTCTCATTTGGACGTTCATGGCCATAGAAAGCTTTCCTCTTGGATGTTAGAAAGTATTAAAAGCTTTCGCCATAAACGTTTTTAGGAAAAGAAAACTTTCATCTTGGACGATTGAAGATATATCAATATTTCTATTTACTCGTTTGTAGTTGCTTTAAGCTTTCTCCTGTGACGTTTTAATATATGATAAGCTTAGATTGCAAAATTTGAAATGTGCAGCAGCTTAAATATTAGACGTTTCTTTTCATTGACGAGCTTTGGATTTAGATGTTTACAAGCAACAGAATATTCAATTTTAGACGTTCATCTTCATAGTCGGGCTTCTCTATTGGACGTTTGTAAAGCTCTCAAGCTTAAATGCTGGACGTTACTTTTGTCTACAAGCTTTTAGTAGAAGTTTCGATTTATAGTCGGACTTTATTGTTAGAGGTTTGAATGTTTTATTTACAAGAATATTTTTTTTTACCTCACAAGTATTTTATTATATGTTTTCTTATTTTTTTTTGAAAAAAAAAAAAAAAAAAAACCAATGTTCTTGGAGGTAAAAGACGTCCGGCCATTTTCTTTTTTATTTGCAATCGTCAACTATTGCCTAACTGACAGTACAATGTATTATTCGACAAGACCCATGGACGAATTACCAACACCCATGCAGTTGGCGTTTCTTTTGACTCTGGGTGGATCCATTTCTCCCTCTCTCACTTTAACTCACATCTCACATTTCGGGTAAAGGGTGCCTGCAGTGCACACTTACACAGTAGACTCTGCTGTGAATTTGTAGCCATTAGATTTGATCTTTAGTTACTACAAAACAAAAGCAAAAAACTATTCATTCAACCCACATTAAAATAAAAGGCAAAAGAAACATTCTAAATAAAAAAATGTAAATTGTTCCCCATCACCTTATCATTTGTCTTCTTTCCTTACGTTACTTTAAAGATTAATGTTGAAAGTAGTGAAGTATAAGACTCTTCACCACTTCTGAAGCTTCCCTAAAGGACTGAATAGGCAAAAGAAACAATCCAAATAACTGCTCATCCAAATAATTAATGTTCTTATTCTACATTTGTTTTTTCAGTTAATTCTGCTTTTACTATACATTTTTTTTTCCATATTTTTCTACTCATCTTCTATTTTCTTGCATATTTTTCATTCATAGAACATGTGTAAAAAAAATATAAAAAGCTATAATAAAATGTTAAAACATACTTAAATCATATGCCATAAATTTTATTACATGCCAAAACAATACAAAAGAAATTAACTACAATTTAGAGTAGTCTAAACAATGACATTCNAATTAAATCATGCTTGACATTCTAAAAAAACATAAGTTCAACTACCTCTTCAACTTGCACATTAAATTTCTTGGTTTTCTTCTTTCGAACCTCATGTAAGGGCTTCATTCTTTTTATTCGTCGTTTCCCTTCTTTCATCTTTAGACCTTTCAAGTTTCCAATGGAACTTTCTACATTTTTCAAAATATCACCATCTTTGGAAATTTCTTCTCTCATTGAAGCCTCGTAGATTTTGTCCATGTTTTGTTCAAACATGTCCTTCATTAGGCTACGTGCAACCGCACTCTTTGAAGCTTCGTATGACATTCTCAAAAACAATGAATGCATCTCCCGTTCCATTCCATGAAATTATGACCAATATCCTTGGATTTTGAATGATCAAATCTCTTTGTTTTTCGTTCCCACCGACTTAATATGAACTTATCGGGAAGCTCTAATATATCAAAAAACTTGAATACCCTCAAAATATGAGAACATATGAATCCTTTACTCTCGAACATCATGCAACTACACGAGAAGAAATCATTGCTAACACGAAGCACATGAAATTCATTATGAAAAACACCATGAAGCACAATCACGAACCAAGTAGGCACCTTAGTCTCTTTTTCTTTAATTATAGATATCATTGAGCGCTTGTACTCTTCTTGAAAAAGATGGAATATTGATGGTGTGTACCTTTTTTATGCCTTTTGTAATATCGGGCACTCGACGATGCTCATAGAGGGAACTTGTTGTCGTGCTCTAAATTCAGAAGCCATCTCCTTATCTCTTTTATCAGCCACCACTCGATCAAAATGGTTAAAAAAATCACTGATATGTAAAGCACAATTTAAATGATTTTTTAAATATTTATTCAAACTCTCACTTAGTTGCCTACTATGAATACCCAAAGTGAAAACACTTTTCATGAAACACCTTGCCCATTTATTCTTTACAGCATAAGTTTGCTTCAAGCAAGAGTTCTCTTGTAAGTCATGCTTTTGTAACATATTACTCCAAGAAGCTTCAAACTCATCAACATCAGTATACTCATACATACATCGATTAAAATCTCCCAAATAAAAATAAAAAAAAGTTGTAAAATATCCACAAATAAAATATGCCAAAGGACTTTCCAAAAGACAAAAACACATCAAACTAGAATATAGAGATAAATAGGAATGAACCTAAATGATCAAGTAACAAAATAATTTAACCAGTTCTACGTCACATACAAATTCTAATTTTTTTTTTAAATTAGCAATTACATTAACAAAAAAAACAAAGAAAAAAGTAAGCAAAGTGCCCTAATATCTACCATTGCCAAAATGTCCTTCCAATTGGGTCTCAGAATATTCAATGAACTATACATATGTTAGAATCTATATGAAATGAAGATTCTTTTCTTATTTTCATCCTCAAATTCTAATAGTACCATCTTGTTACTTATTGGCTAAACATTTTAGGGGAAAAAAAAAGCACAAGACATTAAAAAAAAAAACNAAATCCTTAACAATATATTTTCCAGAAATCGGGTTTAGTGCTACATTCAACTTTGCTTGGCAACCAGTTCTTACCTAAGAGCGTTGACGAGATTTATCGTTGACCCTTTTGTCATCTTTACGAAACCCCTCTTTATAACATACGAATACGGCATTTGTAACTACTCCATCCTTTCTCCGCTTGTTTGAATAATCTTTTCGAACACCAAAGCCTATCCTTTTGCCATATTTTTGCCAACAATCCCAAGCATCATCTACATAAATGAACTCCGTTCCAATTCGAAGGCCTTCATTGAGTATATCATCAATATTTGGCGAGCTCAAGTTGACTACTTCAATATTCGCAGCTTCAATTCTACATTTAAATACAAATAAAAAAAAAGTTGTAAAATATCCACAAATAAAATATGCCAAAGTACTTTCCAAAAGACAAAAACACATCAAACTAGAATATAGAGATAAATAGGAATGAACCTAAATGATCAAGTAACAAAATAATTTAACCAGTTCTACGTCACATACAAATTCTAATTTTTTTTTTAAATTAGCAATTACATTAACAAAAAAAACAAAGAAAAAAGTAAGCAAAGTGCCCTAATATCTACCATTGCCAAAATGTCCTTCCAATTGGGTCTCATAATATTCAATGAACTATACATGTGTTAGAATCTATATGAAATGAAGATTTTTTTCTTATTTTCATCCTCAAATTCTAATAGTACCATCTTGTTACTTATTGGCTAAACATTGAGGGGAAAAAAAAAGCACAAGACATTTACACAATTTTCATATTTTCATCCTCAAATATTTACAGCTTTAATTCTATATTAAAGTCAAATAAAATTAAAATGAACAAATTGTAAAAATTACAAAAAAAAAAATAAAAAAAAATAAATAAATAAATACCTTTGAATTTCTAAATTATCCCAATCTACACACCCATAGTCTTCATTTACGGGATTATTTTTAGGACTTAACATATCATTGTTTGGTTGATCATAGCATGACACATTGTAGATTTTTTTTTATTTGTTTGGGGTTGGACCGCTGGAGAAATGGAAAGAAGGAAAGAAAAGATGAGGGCTGCAGTAATGTGGCTGGAAGAGGGAAAAAAGGCGGCAAAAAAGATGAATAATAAATAAAACTATGACCATTAGATTAAAGTGAGATGATCCAACGGTGTTTAAACTCCACACACCATCTGTGTAAGTGTACACTGCTGGCACCCCGAATCCCTGTTGTGCAGCTAGGTGTACAGTTAAGTTGAAACTTGTTTGTTGGGAATGATTGTGGGTAGTTGTGGATTTTTTTAGGGTTTTTTGATCCTTTATTTATTTGCTGCTTGTTGATTTCGATGTGATCTGCTGGTTGGGCCTGCACAGCTAAGTGTAATAAGTCGAATCTTGATTTACTGGGAATGATTGTGGGCTTTGTGGACTTGTTTACAGTTTTAGTCCTTGTTTTGTTTGCTTCTTGTTGATTTTGATGTGGTCTTCTGGTTGTATTTGAGAATTCGGAACCATAGCCTGATTATGAATCAATGGAGTTAGGGTTAAATGGGAACTAATGGTGAGGAAAGTAGGGGAGTTGTTCTTGAAGGCCTCAAGTAGGCATGCGGGGTATATTGATTTTAGATGTTTCTAGCTGGGTCTTTCTTCATTCTTTCATTTTTTATGCCTTTGTTTTAACTGTAGCTTAATTATAGTTTTGAGGACTCTAGTTGCGTTTAGTCTTATAATTTATTACATTTATATTTTCAGTAAAACTTCACGTGACGTGAACTGCACTAAACTATGCAAGCAGCTTACTAAGCTGATGAACTGGTTTGGTCGTGGTACATGTTACCAAGCAAAACATACTGTGGCGAAGTATTTTGGTATGATATCGAGTGATTGTTATGAGGATCAGCCATTAATGAAGGTCATACAATTATGTATGACTTTCCATATTCCAATTACAAAATCTACTGTAATGAGAAAATACAGAAAAAGATACAGATAGCTGATAACACAAAAATAGTCGTAAGACGTAGATTATGCTGAGATGTGTGAAGTAATTACCAAGTACATCTGAGGCAAAATTGCATCAGCTTCTGATGGCTATCATTTATTTCATACTTTTGTGCTATTATTGTTCCTACTTTTGTCTGTGGTTTGCATGGAGTGGTTACTAGCTGGCTACACCAAATCTTACTTAACTATTGTCACAGTTTTTGCAGGTCCAACTATTCTAATTTTCCAGGAAAATGCAGGAAGTATCCTTCCAGAATTCTTTTGTTTGAAGATCACAATTAATTTTTACACGATATTATATATATAAACTGCAATGTCTAATAATGTGCGTACTAGAATAAATCTGTTCCAGATTCTTAACCATGTAATTGCACACATTGCTCATCGTCTTGAAATGGTTCGAGTAATGATGCAGAAACTGCAATGCAATGTTTTCATGCTTTCTTATAGAGGGTTAGTAATTTACTACTTTTGTATATTCCTTTAAGATTTCCTCATTAACCATGAATCAAAATACATGTTGCAAAAAAGTCTTGACTGGTCAGATACTTATGTTTGTACATTGTCTTGAAGTCCCACCCGCTTTCAACCCACCTCATTTGTTATGCTTGTCTAACTGCATTGTTCTGCTTTGCCATGCTCAGTTATGGAGCTAGTGATGGATTTCCTTCACAACATGGCATTACAAAGGATGCTCAGGTTTTCTTCTTGAATATGTTAATTTTTACTAATATTTCGTTGTATTATAGTCAATAGTCAGGTACTTCTGTCTTTTCCTGACAGGATGAAGGTTGCTGTGATTTTAATTTTAAGGTTCTTGTCAATTTCCTTTTGAGTAGGCTGCATTGGATCATCTGGTTCAGAGAACAGATATTGACACGTCCAAAATTGTAGTGTATGGAAGATTTCTTGGGGGAGCTGTTGGGTCTATGTTAACCAAAAACAATCCAGACAAGGTGAGGTGATGCCTCTGAGGCTTTGTTAGTTTCAAAAGATGTCAGTATTGGAGCAATTTTTCTTTGCATATGCTGCTTGCTTTGTGTTATTTGCCTCCTTGTGGGCGGTATCCATTATTTAACAGGCCTAAAACCATTATTCTTCATAGCTGAATAGTGACACTGTTAAAGCTTTATTGCAGTATAACATGTTGCACTGCCTAACAAATTAATGTATTATTGAAATATGACATAAGACTTGCGGACTCTGATTCAAATTCATATAGTTATCCGAAAATTGAAGACTGTAATGCCTTTGGGCTAAAGAACTTATAAAAATTTATTTGAAAGTCCTTAAAAAGTGAATATTGTTTTGTGCTGAAAATTATCTCCAGAAGACCTTTTCGGGAGAATGCTAGTGCTTAATCATTTGTTGAGTTTTTCATTTTCTTGATCTGCCCCTTCTAATCCGATATTTGAATGTTGTTTCAACTGATGTAATATATTTTGCCTTGGCCCTCGTTGGTGCATAGACAAATATGCCAACTCAATCACAGTAGCTTTACTTTCTCTAACATTGCGGGTTGCTGCGCTAATATTGGAAAATACTTTCACATCTATCTTGGACATGGCTGGAGTTATGTTACCATTTCTGAAGTTATTTATTGGAAAAAATACGGGTCCAAAAATTCTGAATTTTCTAGTCCGTTCCTCATCGAACACCATTGATGTTATTGGTGAGGTGAGGCAACATAATGATGGAACTTCTTACAGTTTAATTTCGTTGCTGCTCTTGAGAAAATTATGGCGCCAATTAGCTTGCTTTTGCTTGAAGCTGATAGACTTACCTTGCTAATTTTTAAATGAGCCCACTGCTCACCACAAGTTGCCTAAGATATGTGAAATTGTTCCAAATAACTATTTTGAATATCTGTTGTTTCTTTCACGTCTCAGAAGTTGTATTTTCTACTGTTTAGTCAGTGTGCATGTTTAAATCATTTTTTTTCCTTTGTGTCTGCAACTTTGTATTTCTCCTTTGTGTCTGCAACTTTGTCTTTCCTCATTAAGTATTCTGAAACATCTAGTTGAGGCATTATTGATTGAATATAAGGATAAAAGTCGTCTGTTGACTAAACTGCTAGTGGGGGGCATTTAAGGCCTTGATATTGTTCCTACTGGAATTGTCCAGTTATTTGAACTTTTAATATAAGATCATTAGACTGATATCTTGTATGCATTAATATATTTTTAACTCTTTAAACCTATTTAAGATAATGAACAATGAGGAGAAGGTTTTGTGATTTTGCTGCTACAGGCTTGTGTCTTTTTGTGGTGCACAAATATTTTAAAAGGAAAAGTCCGTTGATAGCTTTCGATATATGTGGGGTAATGTATGCTGCTTTACTGGCACCATACAACAATAGACTGATGTAATTGCGTGAAGAACAATGAATTGAAATGATAGCTATATTTTATAACTATTCTCTCCATTTCTTGCTCTTGTTTTCGATCCGGGGTTTTGGTAACACAAATTCTTGCGAGACAACCTAATAAGTATTTGACCCGTCAGTAATTTTTTTTTTTTCTTTTTTTTTAACAAAACTGCATATTTGTACTTTTTACTTTTTGTTTACATTATTTTTTTTAGTATAATATTTTAGTTTGAAAGTAGGCATATTTTTTAAAAAATATGATTGATCCTACTTTAACGTGAGATATTAGTTTTTTATTTCACTAGTTTTTGTTTTATTTTATTTTTCGACAGCAACAGGTATTTTCGAGTTTTGCCTAGTATTATGCAACTCATTTGCTAAATACCGCACCCAAATACCGTTTACCGCACCCAAAAAATACCAAAATACCCTTACTAATATAAAAGAAAAAAATCGAAAAAAAAGGAAAAACGCAGAAAAAACGCACGCACCTCCCCGCCCCCCTTCCCTCACTCTCTCTCCCATCTCTCAATTCACATAAGCAAAAAAAAAATTGAAAAAATTTCGTTTTTTGCATTTGGACGCGGAAAAAAATGGCCGGCGCGAAAAAATCATAAGGAACAACCAAGTTTTTTTTTTT